CGCATCGGGCTCCCTGCTCAGCGGGAAGCCTGCTTCTCCCTCTCCCACTCCCCCTGCTTGTGTTCCCTCTCTTGCTGTGTCGCTCTGTCAGATAAATAAATAAAATCTTTAAAATAAATAAATAAATAAATGGTGTTGGGAAAACTGGACAGCTACATGTAAAAGAATGAAACTGGACTACTTTCTTACACCATACACAAAAATAAACTCAAAATGGATTAAAGACCTAAATGCAGACCTGAAACCATAAAAATCCTAGAAGAGAACACAGGCAGTAATTTCTCTGACATTGATGGTAGTGATATCTTTCTAGATAGGTCTCCTGAGGCAAGGGAAATAAAAGCAAAAATAAACTATTGGGACTACATCAAAATAAAAAGCTTCTGTACAGCAACGGAAACAACCAACCAAACTAAAAAGCAACCTACAGAATGAGAGAAGATATTTGCAAATGACATATCTGATAAAGGGTTAGTATCCAAAACATTTGAAGACCTTATACAACCCGATACCGAAAAAACAAATAATCCAATTAAAAATGGGCAGAGGACATAAACAGACATTTCTTCAAAGATGACATACAGATGGCCAACAGGCACATGAAAACATGCTCAATATCACTCATTATCAGGGAAATGCAAACCAAAACCACAATGATATATTATCTCATACCTCTCAGAATGGCTAAAATCAAAAACTCAAGTACTGACAAGGATGTAGAGAAAAAGGAACCCTTGTGCACCATTGGTGGGAATGCAAACTGGTACAGTCACTGTGTGAGACGATATGGAGGTTCCTCAGAAAATTAAAAATAGAACCACCCTATGATCCAGTAATCATGCTACTGAGTATTTATCCAAAAAATATGAAAACACTAATTCAAAGGAATACATGCACCCTTAGTTTATAGCAATATTATTTACAATAGCCAAACTACTGAAGCAGCCCAAGTGTTCATTGATAGACGAATGGAAAAAGAAGATGCAATATATATCCAATGGAATATTATTCGGCTATAAAACAATATGTATGAACCTAGTGGGTATTATGCTAAGTGAAATAAGTCACTCAGAGAAATACAAATACCATATGATTTCACTCATGTAGAATTTAAGAAACAAAATAGAGCAAAGGGATAAAAAAGAGACAAACCAAAAAAACAGACTCTTAACATGAAGGAACTGGAACTCAGATACACTGCTGATGGTCATGTAAAATAGGACAACCACTTTGAAAAACACTTTGGCAGTTCTTTTAAAAGGTTAACTATACACCTAAGACCCAGCCATTCCATTCCTAGGTATTTACCCAAGAGAAATGAAAGCATATGACCACACAAAGACTTGTACATAAAAGTTAAGAGATTTATCTGTAATAGCCAGGAACTGAAAACAACTCAAATGTCCATCAAAGCTGAATGGATACACAAACTAGTATATGCACACAATGGAATACCTCTCAGCAATAAAAAGGAATAAACCTTCAAAAAAAAGGAATAAACTATTGATATATGCAACAACACATATGAACCAGACAACACTTACACTGAGTAAAAGAAGCCAAAGATTTACATACTGTATGACTCCATTTATATAAAATTCTAGAAAACAGAAAACAAAAACTAATCTAATATAAGTAGATCAGTGGTGGCTAGGGGAACAAGAGGCTGGAAAGATGGACCACAAAGGGGAAAAAGGGAATTTTTGGGGTGATGGATATATGCCCAATCTTGATTGTGTGATGGTTTGACATATATATATATGTCAAAACTTATCAAATAGTACACTTTAAATATGTGCAGCTTATTGTAGATCACTTGTATCTCAATAAAGCTGTTTAAAAAATAAAACTTTCCTGAAATGAAAAAATATATACATTTGAAATTACATATGGAAAGAGCATATCACATACTTGAGAATACTGACCCATCCTAATAAAATTACTAGACTTCAAAGAAAAAATTCTCTGGTCATCTAGAAAAAAAGAACAACGACTTATAAGGGGAAAAAATATTAGATTATCATCTGGCTTTGATATCAATGCTTTATACCAGAAGAAAAAGAGTAATATATTTAAGAAACTCAAGGAAAAAAAGTGTGAACCAAGGACTTTATATCAGCAAAACTGCCTTTCAAGTATAAAGAACACAAGCTTTTATCCACATACAAGAACTTAGGGGATATTCCTTCCTGAGGAACCTAATAAAGGAGCATTGGGTAACCAAAATGATATACAGGGGCACCTGGATGGTTCAGCATCTGCCTTCGGCTCAGGTCATGATCCCGGGGCCCTGGGATCCAGCCCTGCATTGGGCTCCCTGCTCAGTGGGGAGCCTGCTTTTCCCTCCCCCACTCCTCTGCTTGTGCTGTCAAACAATAAAAAATCTTAAAAAAAAAAAAAATGGGGTTATAGATATAATAGAGAAATTAAATAAAAGCTCTATAGTCTCAATCTGTATTGGAAGTATTTATATGCACTCATGAGATACTTAATCTTTAATGTGTGTGTGTCTCTATATAAATAGATGTAGGAATTCTAGCTCTGCCTACTGAAAAGCCTCAAACAATGACTATGGATCCCTAGCATACAGATTATGACCCTGAAATGCAATTTCCCTCTTAAAAAAAAAAAAAACAACCCAGAGTTTTTTTGAAGAAATGGATGATTTCAGATTTGGGACAGAGCATTCAAGCTATCAGATAACAAGCTATCAGACTATTAAGGGTCATATCAAAAGAACAGGCTTAAATAGGCTCCCCGCAGGGCAAAGATGAGACAACATGAGCTTCAATAATGATAATGATTGCAATGAACTAAAACCCAACAAATATGTTTAAGTTCATGACCTTATACTGACATTAGATTTTCTAAAAAGAATGGTCTTCAGAAGATAAGGAACATAAATGGAAAGAATCAAGCATTTATGCTGCCTGTCCTAAAGGAATTGTACAGCTGTGTATCCAGATGATAAATAAGGGACTAGTATGCCAATTAATAAGAAAAAAAAAACCAGGATAGAATTAAAATACCACTATTTTGCAACCTTAAATGAATAGATACAGGCATGAAGTATCAAGAGTTGCTGAGATCACAAAGAGAAACATAGGCACCTCCAATGGTCTTGCGAAACACCGCTTAAAGAACTGCCAAAGGACTTGAATCTGAGTCTGATCCAGTCCTGGATCCAGCTACCAATGTGCAGGAGTTACCCAGGGCAGAACGTATTGAATTGTACATGAATTTATAATCAGCAAAATCCAGACTATAGGATATATAAGTCAAACCCAGATTCTGCATCAGATAAACTATAAGGGAAAGGAAGGAATAAAGAGAAAACCTACAGATTTTTTTAGAAGATTTATTTATTTGAGAGAAAGTCTCAAGCAGACTTTCCAGGCTGAGTATGGAGCCAAACGCGGGGCTCAATCTTGTAACCCTGAGATCACGACCTGAGCCAAAACCAAGAGTCAGATGCTCAACTGACTGCACAACCCAGGCACCCTGGAAAACTACAGATCTTTTAAAAGATTTTTTTAAGATATTTTAAAAGAGTTTTTAAGGGGGAACTGGGTGGCTCAGTAGGTTAAGCATCTTGCTCTTGGTTTCAGCTTAGGTCATGATCTCAGGGTCATGAGATGGAGTCCAGTATGAGGCTCCACGCTCAGGAGTCTGCTTGAGATTCTTTCCCTTTCCCTCCCTCTCTGCTCCTCTCCCCATTCGTTCTCTCTCTCTAAAATAAATAAAATCTTAAAAAAAAAGTTCTTAAAAATTTTTTTAATCAGCAAGGCTACACTACAGTGTCTAGAAATATACATTTATGAAAAAAAAAAACTCAAACACAAGGAAGCAATTACTATAGAAGTCAGAAGAATGGCTACTAATGGGAGTACAGAAGTAACTGTGATTGACATGGAGCAATAGAGGGGCTCTAGCATGGTGAGCACGATTCTACACCCTGATCTGAGTTGTATCATCTTATTTTAATAATTTATTAAGCTAGGGGCGCCTGGGTGGCTCAGTTGGTTAAGCAACTGCCTTCGGCTCAGGTCATGATCCTAGGGTCCCGGGATCGAGTCCCACATCGGGCTCCCTGCTCGGCAGGGAGTCTGCTTCTCCCTCTGACCCTCCTTCCTCTCATGCTCTCTGT